TGAAAGGTTTGAAGAGTTAAGTTAGCTCTCCTAAACACAGTATTAACTTTGCATTTGGTATGTGCAAGCAGTACAGATTCAGATTTAGAATCACCTCAAAACAACTTTCATTTCAGCCATGTTTTCAATGTTAGTTTAACCCTGTTCTCTCCTTAAAGCTGAAGAACAGCAAGGTGTTTATTAAGTGTTTGACTTGCAACAACCTGTAAGGCTTAATGCTCCTCTTTCCAATTGCAAAGCATACAATACAGGATGTTTGCCTGTACGGACTGCAGTCTGTGCTTCCAGGGAAGCTGTTAACCCATACAGTTGCAGACTGATGAATGATAACCAGCTCTGAGTAAAGTAACCTCAGTAGTTTCACATCATGACTTTGATGCTTTTGTGGGTAGTACATGAAGTGTGAATGTGTCATTAGGTAGTACTGCCATAACTCAGTCTTACTGGAAATTGCAAACACTTTAATAGTGTTTCTGGAAAGGCTGAACCACTTCCCTGGGCAGCCTGGTCCAATGCTTGATAACCCTTTTGGTGAAGAAATTGTTCTTAATACCCAATCTAAACCTCCCCTGGTGCAACTTGAGGCCATTTCATCTCATCCTATTGCTTGTTACTTGGGAGAAGAGACCCACACCCACCTGGCTACAACCTCCTTTGAGGAGGTAGCTGCAGAGAGCAATAAGGTCTCCCCTCAGCCTCCTTTTCTCCAGGCTAAACCACCCCAGTTCCCTCAGCTGCTCCTCATAAGACTTGTGCTCTACACCCTTCACCAGCTTTGTTGCCCTTCTCTGGACACACTCCAGGACCTCAATGTCTGTCTTGTGGTGAGGGGCCCAGTACTCACCAGTGCTGAGTACAGAGGGGGCAATCATGAAATGGAGGAAAGCTAGAGCTTCCTGCTGTGCTCAAAATTGATATGCCTTTGGGAAAACTATCCCTTTACTGAATGCAAATTTTACTCAAAAAATCTGCAGTACAACTTGACACATCTTTGAAAGACAACTTTGAGTCCTTTATTGGCTAGGCTATAAAAGCAAGGAGTTTTTCCATGTGACAAAAATGCAAATAAACTTACACTTTTTTTTTGCATTGCTTTTTAGTTAGCGTAGCATTGTGCAAGGAGCTGCTCTTCCTTCTAGGGAGGAGAGGAGAGAAGGTGCTAGGGAACATAGAGATGCTGATGTTTTAATGAGTCATCATTAAGGAGGCATGAAAGGTTCAGTGTACAGGCAGCAAGCTCTGAGGCCAAGAACACTGCATTGGGCAGGATGTGGCATTCAGGGGTTGCAATAGGAAAGCAGTTAACACAACAACAAAAAAGCAACAAACCCCCAAATGGCAGACCTAATGCTTTTGCTCTAAGCACTTAGCTATGCTTTGCACCACCATGTTCCAAGGCTATCACAATAAAAGAAAACCTCTTCATTTGATTGATATCCCTGCCTTTCTGTACTGCGCCATAGTGTCTGTGAAGGGAGGACGTGCAGTTCTGCTGTTGCTCAGAAGGGTCTGCATCACCCAGTATCCAAAATCAATTAGCAGGTTAACTGACTGGGGCTGTTAATTATTGAAATAATTAATTATAATTATTATTGAAATTATTATTATTGAAATAATTATTAATTAATAATAATTATTGAAATCTGCATCCAA